GCCGGGGGCGGCGGCGGCGGCGGCGGGGGATTCCTGGGTGTTTCGGAGGAGGCGTCTGCGATGACTGCCAGAACGTACAGCTGGCAGCAGCCCGCGGCGGCAGCGGCGCGGCCGCTTGGCGACGGGCCGCGGCGGCCGACGGTTGCGCTCGAGCCGTCTGCGGCGGCAGCGGCGCAGCAGCAGCAGCAGCAGCAGGAGCAGCGGCAGCAGCAGTCCACCGACTCGTTTACGCCCACCATCGGCGGCGCCGCCCGCGACGACTGCCGGCCCGCGCTCGAGCCGCCGGCGGCGCTGCGGGAGGCGCTCTGCCGGCTGGCCTGGGGCTACACCGCCCTCGGCCGCCTGCCCAACGCGCTGCTCCGCGAGTCCTTCCGGCTTCTCGGCAGCTACCCGGCAGCCGACTTCACGGCACCCCAGCTGGCGATGCTGTTCGAGGCGGGCGCGCGGGCGCGGGCGATGGGGCAGGGGCTGGCGGAGCCGCACCCGCTGACAGCCACATCGGCGCGCGTCTTCATCGGGGAGGTGCGCGTTGTCACGCACTGTGAATTCTCGAGGCCCGTACGACTGAACAAAGGAGCGCGTGTGGCGGGTGCTCCCGCGTGCTGGCTGCAGCGACGGATGCGCGGGGTTTGGGCGGAGCGCGGAGCCCAGCCGGGCGGTCCTCTTCGCAGCTGCGTGGGGCCGCTCTGGTCTCGCACGTGCTTCCCCTTTGCAGAGCGGGCGCATGCGCCTGCACGTGCAAGTTCCTCAATCTGACTTTGGCATCACCTAACATCCCCCTGCTGATGACGCCCGCAGCTCAAGCGGGCGCCACGCACTGTGGCGCTGCCCGAGGAGCTGCAGCACTACGCATTCCCGGCCTGGCTCCGCGGCACCCGCGGCGGCGCCGCGCCGCTCGCGCCGCCGCCGCTGATCGCGGCGCGGCAGTGGCACGGCGGCGACGCGGCGGGGCCCCGGCCGCCGGCCGGGGCGCATTGGCCAAGTGGCAGCGGCGGCGGCCGAGGCCCTAACCAGCAGCAGCAGCAGCAGGAGCAGCAGCAGCAGCAGCAGCAGCAGCAGCAGCAGCAGCAGCCTCTGGGAGGGGACGACCGGTGGCCAGAGGGATGCGCCGACGCCCCCTTCTCCTCCTGGCGCCACCGCGACCCCACATACCTGACGCGCGCCGGCCTCTCCGCCGGCGTCTCCGCCGCCCTCGTCGCCGCCGGCCTGTCCGAGGTTGCGCCGTCCGTCGCGCAAACCTTAGACGGCGTGATGGAGGTCCCGCTGCCGCTGGCGCGTGGCAACGCACGGGTGGCGATTGAGGTGCTGCCCCCAGAAGACGCGGCCCGCAACCCGCCCCATGCGCCGCTCGGGCCGGCGGCCGCGCGGCACGCGATGCTGCGCCACCGTGGGTGGGCGGTGGCGCAGGTGCCGTTCGACGAGTGGCAGGCGGCGTGCGAGGCGGGGGGGCGGGCGGCGGCGGAGTACCTGCGGGCGGCGGTGGAAGCTGCAGAGTCGGCGGCGCTTGCGCCGGAGCGGTGAGGGCCCGGCGCCCCGTCCGGAAACGCGACACGCGGCCAGCAGGAGCGAGAGCGCGCCCGGGCCCTTGCCGACAGCGGGGCCCGGGGTTGTGTGGTGACATGTCGAGAAAAGTCTCCTGTCCGGGACTTGAGGGACGTCTGAGCTGGGCAGGTCCCATGCAGATAGGGCCAGGCGCTTGTGGGGCTCTGGCAGGGGCATTGTGTCCCCTAAGGAGGGATGCGGCCACCTGTTGATGTGCTCAGCAGCGCATCACAGGTCCCACTCACCGCACCTCCGAGTTTGGGGCGGTCGAGGCAGGGTCATGGGCCCCAAGGCCGCCGCGGCCGGCGCGCTCGCCGCCAGCCGCGCCAGCTGGCGGCAACCCTTGACCCTCCAGGCGCGCCATTTGAATTGCAAAGCTCACAGGCCGGTTTGGGGTTTCAAACCCCCTGGGAGATACGTGAAGTTCAGGTATCTCCTGGGCAGTCAGGCGGGACTAATTTCAGCCCCCGCTGCCCCGGCCTGGCCCCTTGGCCTTGGCTGCACTGGACGCCTCGAAACACAGTGTGCCCACCAGCCGCGCCCCTCGGCAGCCGTGGGAAGGTGCACCCTCCCTGCCAGGCGCGGGGCCTAAGGCTGCTGCCGGCCAACGCCTGCTGCAAGGCGCGGGCGCCCAGTCGGCCCTGGGGTCTGCGAGCCTGCATGCGTGCAGAGATGAGGACAGCCAACTCCTGGCCTCGCCCGCCCATGCAGCTCACCCTATCTGACTGTACACAAAGCCGCGCTTCCACTGCCTCATGCGAGCGCCGCGCTGCTCGCAGGAGCTGCGCTTTTGCGTGTGTGTGAGCCTCCAGCCCTCTCCTGCATTTGCAGCTCGAAACCCCCTCCCTGCCCTTGCGCAGACCCTGCAAGCTTCAGGGGCCACCGCCGCACACCCTTTGCCTAGATTTGGCTGGCGTGCAGCAGCCGTGTGATTCGCACGTGTCTAGCCTTGAGCCTCTGTTTCTCATGAACGGCACATTGCTGTTGGTAACTTGCCTGGTTACAGGCGTGCATCATGAATCTCAACATGAGACTGATTTGAACTCCATGGGGTGTGTGGGCCAGGATTGATGATGCGTGATTAGGTGCCTGCTAGTTTCAGTGCGCCACCGCCAGGCCCCAGATGAGGCCACATTAGTCATGCCTTTCTGTGGCTAAGCCTGCAACACCAGCAACTAGAGGCTGGCTTGTGGGCGGGGCGCTAGGGCCGAGGCAGGACGGCGAGCCGGTGATCGCGAATCAGCGGGGCCGCAGCACCCATCCTGCGCAAGTGCACGATGGCCGCCCCTGCGGCCCTGACGAGCGGCGCAGAGGGCAAAGCACCCTCGTCGAAAAAGGGCGCGCCCCCGCGTGGCGGCACACAGGCGCCGCCCCGCGCCGCGCCGCAGCGCAGGAGGCCGGCTCTGCTGGCGCTCGCGGTTTCCCCTGGTATTCTTCACCGGCATTGTCCGGCATTGTGGGATCGGAACGAGGGCGGGGAAGGAATGCCAACGGCTAAGCTGAGCGCTCCTGGCAGCAGCAAGGGTGGCCGGAGCGCCCATTGCAAGCAAGGGTGTGGTGGCGCTGCGACTTGCCTGGAACTCTGCTCCATGAAACGCAGCGCTATGAAAGGGAGGGCTGAATGCCAGGACCACGACACAAAAATGGCTGAGGAGCGTCGGCCAGCAAACTCCGGGATGTGGGCGAGCGCAGCGCTATCTGGTAGGCTAAACACACGGCGGCAACAGCACAGGCGAGCCGCCGGGAGGGGGCAAACGATGGGCGGCGTGGCGGCGTCGCGCTCTGCACGCTGCCCACCTGCCCAAGGAAGAAAAAGGCAGCGCGCCGCTCAACCATCTTGGCTCTGCGTTCCACCAGGCTCCCTGGCAGCAGATCACACCGCGCCTTTCAAACTGCAGTGGAAACGGAGAAATCAAGCCTCTGTGACTTTCTATGACTTAGTAACCATCAGTAAACGCGCGGCACGATCCGCCACGGCACCAGCTCGCAGTACCGGTCCCAGTCCGCGCCGTACTTTGCCCGGCAGACCGCGTCGTCCCGCCGTTCCCGGTGGATGAGCAGCGCCGCGAAGTATATGCAGTAGAAGAACGGGATGACGCCCTGGGCGCCCGCGACGCCCGTAGGCAGGCACCAGGCCAGCCCCATGATCCAGTCCCCGAGGTAGTTGATGTGCCGCGCGGCCCCCCACCATCCGGAGGTTATGAGCCGCGTCCCGCGCGCCGTCGGCATGGATTTGACGTGGGAGACGGAGGGGTGGCGGGGGTCTCGGCGGAAGGCGTCCTTCTGGCCGTTTGCGCCGCGGAAGACCCAGTAGCCGAGAGCC